TGGTTTTTAAAAAAAAAAAAAAAAAAAAAAGAAGAATAAGAAAAAGGAAAAGGAAGAAGGTTCGTTTTATTCTTAACTTCATTGAGAAAAAAAGTTATTTAAGAGGTATAAATCGATTATGAAGTGTGTCTTTTAATGGAATAGTAGAGTACAGGGGGCTTAACATTGACAAATAACTGATGTGGGGACAATATAAATCGATTATGTACAGTTCATTCATCGAATCATATACTAGAAGACTTACCAGATCTATTATGCAAACAGTCATCTTCTACGCTGAAAATTGTTGTGGGAATTTGGCCGGTCTTTTGCTGTATCCTCTTATTATCAGGTTACGTAGTAAATAAAGCAGCAGAGTTGTATCCTTTTCTTTGGAGTCTTATTTGGCAGAAGTACTTCCGCTTGTTTCAATGATAATACATTATCTCAAGCAGTTTGTTTTGAATAAATAAGAAAGCTTCAAATTTATGTATGTTATCTAAATTCAAACTCTCACTAAATAAAGAATGGGCCTAAAACTATTGGGCTCTTACTAAACAGATTTCAACGGTCTGTACTTTCTGCTTTTTCTTTAGCGGTGGTGGAAGTAAAAAGAAGAAATTATGCTTTCTGTGGCAGTGTATTTTCCGCATCTTTTCTTTGACAACCTTACCTTTTTCCAGCATGAAACAGGACTATGCAAAAATCTGCTTCAGGAATATGCACAGAAGATGAACTTTGCAATCCCACTATATCAATGCAAAAAAGATGATAGTTCGGGCAGAACTTCCCTTTTCTCGTGTACAGTAGAAATTGGAGGGATCCGCTACATTGGTGCTGCAGCAAAAACAAAGAAAGAAGCAGAAATTAAAGCTGCAAGAACTGCTTTGTTAGCTATCCAGTCTTGCCCGACTTCGCTGCCTGAGAATTCTGTCAATCAAGTTCAGCTCACTGTGATCCCATGCAAGAGGAAAGAAGCAGCAGATTTCTCAGTTAAACCGAAAACTACTGGAGCACCCCGAATAAAGAAAGGGCGATTCAAGAAGGTGGTGTCAAAGAAAAAAGACAACAGAAGTGGACTGCCCAATTTGGAGTTTAACTTTGATAGATCATCCTCCTTCGAACCTCTTGAAACTACTGGGGTCGACCCGGTGCCAGGTTTAGGGGAATCTGTTGAATTAGCCAAAGATACCGTGCTGAATTCCGAGTACAAAACGACAGACCTAAGCTCAAGTGGCAATGATGTACTGGTCTCTAACATCCAAAGCGACACGCCTCAGCTCCCGAATGGTAATATTGGAAATGATCGTTTGGATACTTTCAGTTCCAATCAAATAAACTGTTCAACTTCTGATGTTATGAGTTTTCCTCTCTCTGACGTTCAAGCTACTTGTGGTGAAGTGGCGAATGTGGCCACTGGAATGACAGGGGAGCTTCACTGATCGACCGTTCCTTTGTACTGTGTCATTAAGAGCAGCTTTGTGCTTGAGGGCTCTGACTTACAGGACCCGAACAAAACTATGAAATCCTGGTTTGAGTTATGCTTAGCTTGGTTTTGCAGTTGGTATAAGTAGTAAAAGTGAGAGATTCTTGAGTAGATTAATTGAAGATCTGAGACCAGCCATTTTAAGGGCCAACTATCCGAGAGCAGTTGCAGTGATCAGAGCGTTGTGAGATTAGCTTTTAGTATAGAAATCGTGCTTTGATATTTTCGTGGCTGTAATTTCATGATATCTATCCTTATAAAATATACCTTAAGCACCCTGTCCAATATTATTTAAATCATACCTGCTTCTGAAGCTTTTCTTTTTCCATTTTCAAGTTCGAAGAATTTTGAGTAGGGATTTAACTATCGATCTTTGAGATGGTAGTAATTAGTGTCCCGTTCACTCAGATAGGTTCGAATTGTTGTTTTTCAACCGTTTGTTTTGTGTGTTGCAAATCTTGGATAGTATTTGCAAATCTTGGATAGTATTTTCTAATTTTAATCCGACACTCCGAACCATTAGAACACAATGTTTCCTCATACAATCGGAGTTAAAGGTCATCTCTAGTTAGGAGTTTTTTTAAAAAAGGACAAAA